TCTAGAAACGTTTCGTCTCTCATCCAAGAGACTTCCTCAGTCTGAGGAGCTGTATTCAGCTCAGTCTCTTAAATAGCACCGTCTCAGAGTGGATCAACCAGTTTTGCTGCTGACAACCAAAACCAGCTGATCACATGCTCAAGAAGGACCATCAGCCTAACAATGGATCATTAGCACACTGATGGCTGTTTACTACTCACAGAGGGCTGAGTGATACTAGCAATCACAGCATTGTAAGAGGGGGACAGTTGAACCCGGAGGCCTCCACCCCTGTTTAATGATGGACGATTCCTTTTCATAAAGATGGCCTCCTTTACTCCTCTCTCAAACCATCGTTCCTCTCTGTCCAGGATGTGAACATCTTCATCCTTGAAAGAGTGACCGCTGGCCTGGAGATGAGTGTAGACCGCAGAATCCTGGCCTGATGATGTTGATCTTCTGTGCTGGGCCATTCTTTTGGCCAGTGGCTGTTTAGTTTCCCTGATGTAAGACTGATCACAGCCCTCCTGACACTGAACAGCATACACAACATTACTCTGTTTGTGCCGGGGGACTGGATCTTTGGGATGAACCAGTCTTTGCCGTAATGTATTTTGGGGTTTAAATGCCACTGGGACGTTATGTTTAGAAAATAAACGTCTCAGTTTCTCTGATACCCCCTCAACATACGGAATGACCACTGGTCTGGGTCTGGGTTCCTCCTTTTCACCTGATGGCTGACTGGAGTCCTGTTTGGGTTTCTTCTCTGCTTTCAGGAAGGCCCAGTTAGGATATCCACATTGCTCTAGCGCCTGTTTTGTGTAGGATTTCTCCTTCTGCCTGGCCCCCGAGCTAGTGGGGATGCTTTCTGCTCTGTGATACAGAGTCCTGATGACTCCTAACTTGTGCTCCAAAGGGTGATGGGAGTCAAACTGCAAATACTGGTCTGTGCGGGTGGGTTTGCGGTACACCTCGGTTTGCAAATGTCCTCTATCAGAGACTGAGACCTCACAGTCCAAGAAAGCCAACTTGCCATTTTTTACATCTTCTCGTGTGAACTTGATGTATTTATCCACAGAGTTGATGTGGTCAGTAAAATGTTGGACTTCCTGAGATTTGATTTTAACCCAGGTGTCGTCAACATACCTGAACCAATGACTTGGTGGTGTCCCTGAAAAGGACGTCAAGGCTCTCTTTTCTACCTCCTCCATGTACAGGTTGGCAACAATAGGAGAAACTGGAGACCCCATAGCACACCCATGTTTCTGCCTATAATATTGCTCCCCATATGTGAAGTAGGTTGACTGCAGGCACAGTTTCAGCACCTCAGACTGAGGAAGTCTCTTGGATGAGAGACGAAACGTTTCTAGATTTTTTTTGCTTTGTTTTGTTTTTGTTTTTTTTGAATGTCCAGAGGACCAGATTGAACTTTTTTGGATTTTTCTACCTGGATTATTGAGCATGCATCAGGATATCTGTGTACAATCTTTTACTACTACTTTTACATTTAGGTCCTGTTAACTTCTTTCAGCTTCCTTGT